TTTATGTGGTTAAAGCATGTTGCTTTAGTTTCCTATTGCTGCTGTAAACAAGTTACCAAAAATTTAATGACTTAAACCAGCACATTTGTTATCTTATAGTTGTGAAGGTCAGAAGTCTGAAATGGTTCTCACTGGGCTAAAATCAAGGTGCTGGCAGGAATGTTCCATCAGGAAGCCGTAGGGGAAGATCTATATCCTTACCTTTCCCACGTTCCACAGGTCACCTGCATTCTTTGGCTTTGGGTCCTTTCTTCTATCTTCAAAGCCAGGCAGCATAGCATGTTTATATTTCTCTTTGACTCAGACTCCCTTCTCTCTCCTTATTCCACAATTAAAGGACCCTTGTGATTTCATGCTTCTCTCCAGATAGTTCAGGATAATCTCCTTGTAGTAAAGTCAGCTGATTAGCAACCTTAATTCCATCTGCTGCCCATTTCCCATGGCATATAACAGAACATATTTACAGATCCCAGAGATTGGAATGTGAACCTCTGTGATAGACCATTATTCTACCTACCAAACATGTTGTACAAAAGTTGAGAGTGATAATGAGGGGAAAATTTGGCATGATCCATCAATTCTGGGTGGAAAAGCTCATCTACAGAAACAGGGCAAATAATTTGATTTTATTTAAATGGAGGCATCAAGATTCTTGTGATTTTCCTAAGATATTATGTTTGCCAGCTATTACAACATAACAAACCACTCCAAAACTTGGTGGCTTAAAACAATGATTTGTTATTTTTCATGTTTCTATAGGTTGGTTAGGTGATTCCTTCACTGGGCTCACTCGTATAGGTACATTCAGTTAGAAACTTGGCTGGACTAGAAGATCCAAGATGGGCTCACATTATGTGGCAACGGTGATGGCCACTGGCAGTGCCACCTTGGTTGTACTCACTGTAAATTCACATATTTTGCTAGGCCAAGCCAACTCCCTTAGATGACAGCCTAGGACTACATTCCAAGCATGAAGGTAGAAACATAGGCCCTCTGGTAGCTTTGACTCCAGAACTCATACAGCATCACCTCCACCACGATCTTTTGAATTGGGTCAAGCAGTCACAAGCCTAGCTCAAAATAAGGAGGAAGGGAATAGATTTCATCCCCTGCTGGGAGCTGCTGAAGCAGCCAAATTTCATCTAGCACAGGCTATGAGGACAGGAGTTTTTGTTCTGAGAGTAAGTTTTTGAAATTCTGATGTTTCATGGCTAAAATGTTTCTGAGTACCAAATATCCACCACCTGATCAAGAAGTAGGAATAATTTGAGTATGACAAAGACCACTGGTATTGAAGAGGTAAAGAAACTATGAGGCTAGGGTGTGAGATGATTCATCATGTGGACACTACAAGAAGGCTGACTTGGTGGTGAATGTGGAGGAGTGACCTCTAACCCAGTCGGTGACAGTAATAAATGCAGAGGCAGATATGGAGGTAACCAAGCCAGATGGGCTAATTTGGTAGCCAGGAGATCATCACCATGAATTAGCCTTTTAGCTCGTAGACATTGGCACTCAGGACTCCTCACCAAGTCCTTTAATTCCCAACCTCCATATTATTTTGCTCACTTGTCAGTTTCAATGACCACTTCTGACTTCCAGAGTACGTAGAGAGATTCTTCAGTATTTTAAACCGTCAGACTCAGTAACTTGAGGATTCAGTGAAAGTATGAAATGAAGTTCATCTTCAGATATGTATCTAAAGGCAAATGGATTTTCCCATAGATCAGCAGGATTTATGATGGTAAAATTTGAACAGTGTTAAATGAGTAATATCCATTACTCTCATTCTAGGTAAATAAAAATCAAAAAGCATAGAGTCATTATCCAGATGGTCCTAAGAGCTCATTCACCCAGAAGAGTACAAAATATGGATAAATTAAGGCTCATAACAAGAAGGATTAAATTGCATATTTTATAATTACTACTATAATTTAATGTTTATTTGTTTATATGTAACAGAAGAAAAATTGGTTTACAATACAAATGTAACATGTATTTCCATCGTTGGCTATGACTTCTTATTCTTAAAATGCCTTCTAGATTGCTACAAAATAAATTTCTATCCACTCCCCCGCAAAAAAAGGAAATTCAGCAAACAGCTCCTGAAAATTCCATGTCTAAAATGAGTGACCTGAACTATAAACATCTAATTTTGCCCTGCCTTTTATTTCCTTGCATGTTGTCCTTTTTGCACAAAGCTCAACACTTTTGCAGTCACTTCAGTTTTGAGCAGCTTACTGGAGATAAGAGGACTCATGAATGTAATTCTTACCTTTGACACAGAAATCCTTTCTGGAACTGTGCTTATGCATGAGATATATCTATAAATAAGAAATGATAGCTTTTGTAATCATAGCCTTAATATAAAGCTAGCAGGGCTTCTGCCCCCATCAAAGTAGTCTTCTCTAAAGCTTCTCTAAAGGTATACAACTATACCACCAATACTGCCATGATTCAAATTATTTGGGAGATTCCTCTTTGAGAACTGCTATTAAAGCTAGTTTGCAAGTCAAGAAAACCAACTCTTTGTTTTTCTCTGTCATATCCCAAACATTCCACCAAGTTTTAGGGATTGGCTCCTGTGATTTCTGCCTATCTAAAAAATTTAAATAAAATTTACTCTCAAAATAAGTAAGGTTTTCCACCACGCAGGAAATTCAAAATAATATTCCTCAGGTTCCAGAGTTATGAAACCTGTCTTTTTCACACATTATCCCATGGTAATATCACCGAAAACTTGTCATGGACTGTTAAGAAGTGTTACCATTTTTTTTCTAGAATCTAGAAATGTCCCATAAAAATATTTTTAACCTACCTTTCGAACTCTGTTATCCTTTAGTTAACTATGACATGCTCTCCTCTCCCCTCCCCACCCAGAACCTTTTCTGCCCTCATTGCATAAAGTCAACTGTGGCTCCACCTTGCTTCTTTGTTCCTCAGTTTTCAATGAATCACCTTTATTTCCTCTACTAAATTGTATCTTTCTTACTGGCGCTTGTTATTTTTAAGTTTATGATTTTGCATGTAATTCTGGCCTTCTACCTGCCTCAATTTTGCCATGTAAAGAGATCCATCTTCAGCATCATGATTATAATTTTTGAAGCCATCATTGTGTCAGGTACTGCACATAAAACATCAGTTTCCCTCATCCTCACAACAATATTAGGAGATGGTATTACAATTTCCCCTGGGCAGATGAGGAAACTGAAAGTCATTAAGTGCAAATAACTTGCCCAAAGTTAAATGACAGGAAATTAGGGAATGTTATGTCCATCTAAGGCAGGGCTTCTTGCCTTTGACGCTGTGATGTGGAGAATTCTTTGTTGTGGGGCCTGTTCTGATCTTAGTAATAGGATTAACTGCATTTCTGCCCTCTGCTTATTAGAAGCCAGGAACAAACCCACCCCCCAACCCCGCCACACATACACACCCATTGTGACAACTGAAATGTCTCCACATTTTGCCAAATGTTCTCCAATGGGTATTTGAAAAATCTATGATCTAATACCAAAGTCATGCTTTTGCCACATTATACTATTAAATAAGGCATTAATAAAACCACAGAACTTTCAGGCTAAATTTTGAAGAGGTTAATTTTAGAAGTCACCACACCTGACTGATCAATAGCATTGTAGATTTTACTTATGATTCTCTTTCCCTACCAAGGACCTTCCGGATCAAGCTTTCCAGGTGAGGACAGGTTCTGTCTATTTTAAGCTTCTCCACGGTGTAGGATCACATTCTAACCTCACCACACATCTGTTCCTTGAATCACTTCACTCCACTCCTGCCAAGTAGCCCTCCAGTCTGGGGTTTAACACCTCCTATGAGTGTTATAGGAGACAAATCCTTGTTCAGATGTTTCTAACTAAGAAAAAACATTCTTCTTAATAGTCTTCCTTATCTTTTTGCCTCTATACATACCCTTAACCTCGTTATCCAAATTATCATTTTTCTCAAATCTTTTTTGAGAAAATACTTATTGATTTCCAGGAATATGTTAGCCTTAATCTAAATAGTTTCTATGCCACAGTTGTTAAAACCATTATCAATTATTTAAAATATGACCATCTAACCTGTTTTTTCATCTTCATCAAAGAACAATTACAATACATTAAAATCTGAAAATCTCACTTGGTCGGCCACCCATCGGCTGCTGCTGGAAGCAGACTGAGGAGATTCCTCCCCTGGAGAAGCAGTGCTTTCCCTTTCCCTCACTCAGCCACTCTCATTCAACTTTTTTTTTTTTTTTTTTTATGGTTTCAGGAAAATTCCAGAGTAGCCCTTATCTTAGAAAGAGCATTCTTTACCATATGCTCCAGACTTCTTGATGAAAACACAAAGAGGAAGAGAAAGTTTCAAATCTTGCTTTGTGGTGCCTCACTTGAGAATATTTTTTTAATGAATTTATTTGGTTAATAAAAATAAATGAATGAGTAAATAAGCATACATTCATGTTATCTATGTATCAAAATTCAGAATGCAGTATACTCTTCTTTAACATTGGGAGTACTTTGATTCTCCTCTCAGTCATCGTTATAGTTTAGAACTTATAGAAAACATCTTTTTAACAAAAGATAGTTGGTCACTAGAAGTCTGTGATGATGTGGACACCACTATTGTCAGGGTAGCATATCCCTCAGTATCTGAGTTTAGACCTGTAAGCGATGGGTCCCTTTCGTGGTTCAGCACTAGAAGCTTGTGAGTGATGTGTGTGTCAGCAATCCCCACTCGCCTGATGGCTCTGTAGGCAGGTTGTGTTTAGAGAAAACCAAAGAGAAAATAACATGTTAACCAGAAAGCTGTTTGGGGTCAGAATAACAGTCTGGTGTTTTTATATTTGTGTGAGATATAAAAAGAATGCTTAAGTTTCGGTTAGGCATGGTATGAGCTTTCAAACTTCTTGCTTACGTTTGAGCAACCCCAATGAAGTGCCTAAACCAAAGAGAAGACTGCCCGAACTCCTCATGTCTCTGGTTGCTCTAGAAAGCCTGGGTCCTCATAACATGCTATCCACTCTCTTACTGCAGAGTTTTATAAATGGACACTGACATGGACTACGAAAGACCCAACGTTGAAACCATCAAGTGTGTTGTTGTGGGAGACAACGCTGTGGGGAAGACTCGCCTGATCTGTGCCAGAGCATGTAACACCACGCTGACACAGTATCAGCTGCTGGCCACACACGTACCAACTGTGTGGGCAATTGACCAGTACCGGGTCTGTCAGGAGGTAAGATGTATGATGTTTCTTTAAGATCTTAAAGGCGGGCCTCCCTGGTGGCGCAAGGGTTAAAGACTCAGCTCTATCAAGCTATCACCAGCCACTGCAGTTGGATCCCCAGCCAGGGAGCTAACCTCCCCTGTCTCTCCTGCTGCTCCCCTCAGCATTGTATCTCAGTAGATCACCTTTTCTGCTCCCCACTCTGTCTCTGGTGAATCCTGTCACCACCCCCCACCTCTGGCATACACCCCAGTTCTTGTATACATAAATAAATAAAATAAATCTTTAAAAAAAATCCTAAAGACATATCCTCACTATTGCCACTCTGATTTTAAAAAATGGGGATAGAGGGGGGATGGGGAAGAGTGGGGAGCAGGAATGATTTTTGCATTTAAGACAAAAGCTAACCATTTTAGTGCCATGAGAGAAAACAAAAACAAAATGCACGCTTGGGAGTATGGCTCTGGTATCCTGAATGAGGAAGACACGAGTCATGTGACTCCAGGAAGAGACTTAGAACTTCACTTAAGTCCCATTAGAGGGAATAAGGAGGCAAAGTACAAGAGAATCAAATGGGCCTTGAGGGGTCCAACCCCAATATCCCTCTCTGGGGGAGCCTCTGATTAATACTGAGCATAAATGTGTCTCCTGCAGGTCTTGGAGCGTTCCCGGGATGTTGTTGATGAAGTGAGTGTTTCTCTCAGGCTTTGGGATACTTTTGGTGATCATCACAAAGACAGGCGTTTTGCATATGGCAGGTAAACCCAGATGAGTGTGGTGTGGTTGAACTTGAGTGCAGTTTCCTTTCCAAACCCTGCAGCTGTGTCATAAACCAAAAATAAACAAACAAAAAAAAAAAAAAAAAAAACAAAAAAAAAAACCACATCATACGGCCTTGAAAAGTGTTGTGTTCTGCACTGTATCTAAAAAAAGAAAAGAAAAGTAAAAACCATAAAAACAGAACATTGTTTCCTGATGTCAAGAAAAGTTGTCTGCCTCATCACTTGGCTTCTCCCAGGAAGTATTTTATTTAAAACAACCAGTGCTACTTAAACTGTGACATTTTCTGCAGAAGAATTCTGTTGTGCCCTCCACCTTGGGCTGCTTTGATTGCTGTTTTCCTAAGTAATACTTTATTTGACTTCCGTTAGAATATTTTAAGTTGTTTTAGCACTTGGTCACCTCACTTCAGAAGATCTGTTGGTCTTTTCATGACCATATTAGCAGAGTCTGATGTTATTTGCTCTCAGCTTTGTTATCCAAAAAGTCTATTGTTTTCATTTTAAGGTTGCGTTTTAAAAAGAAAGAAAAATATCTCTGAAGTCTTTACAAAGTACAAAGGTACTTTACAAAGTACCTTTCCAAAATGAACTGAAGTGCTAATGTCTATTTTCCATTTAAACCAAAAAAGAAAAAAAATCCAGTAAAGAAAAGATTAAAGTTTGAAGGGCATTAATATGAGTAGAACATGCTCAAAGTGCCTTAAAATATTTAACAACTTCTTATCACCATAAATTAAAGTGTCGGTGAATGTGGTATAGCTATCAAAATTCAGATAAAAAGATTTATTTTTTTAACCCCTTAACTGTAAATTAACACATTTCATTTTAAGTTTAGAATTAAGGCCTCATAGATCAGTTGTCCTTTGTACACATCAAACATCATGTTACCTCACAGGATTGGATTAGTTAGATAATCCAAATACATGAGTTACTTCTTGGTAAGTATTTCTAACACTTAGTGAGATAAGTGTTTCTAAAGTACCTCTATTTCTTCAAGCCAGTAGCTCTGTTAAGCCTCTGAACAAACTTACTGGTGTTTATTCAAATGGTCTAAAATACTGAATAAACTGCTGAAAGGTTTTACCCAATCCCTGAGTAGTTTACACACTGAAAGAATCTGTGATTTAGGCCAGTTTGTTGAGAGGATCCCAGAAAGAGAACTTTCCATATGTCCATATTGATTTTAATGTTAAAAGAACTCTTGAACTTAATACCCAGAATCATGGACACTTTTCTTCTGAACTCCCTCTCTAGTTCTATTTTCTCTTACCGTGATGTCCTCGATTCCTATCTTTAGTTGCCATTCTGGTCTTCTCTTTGGTTCAATTATTCCACACACACAAAAATAGTAATAATATGTGAACCTGCCTGTAAGGACTGCGCAGTCATATTTACAATTTCTGTGGTTTAAAGGAAGCTTCATAAAGTGATGATTTAAAGCAAAGTAAGGAGAGGTAGAATACATTTCAAAAGGGCATTTTGCACTCTCACTTCTAAAAACGAGTCCAGAAAAAGATGGGCCAAAAGATAAACTTACTAAGATATTTGGGTTGAGTTTCTAGAGACCACATTTCAGCATCTTAGTGGTCTGTTGCCACTTGAAATTGACCTTTTGAAATAATTTTAACTTGATCCCACAATGTAAAACTTTTATTGTGGTAACACAAGGGCTGCTTCATTATCATGTGAGATTCCTGTATAGGATGGATTTAATGGTGCAGTGACCTTCATAGATCTGATATTGACAGGAATCTACCCTGGGCCTCTTCCAGCAACCTGACAGATCTGGGGTCATTTTGCAACGTGTCATGCCTGTGCTTGTTCACTCCCAACAAAAATAAGCTGATCTTTCATGTGACTCCATCAGTTCAAAGGGCATTGTTCTACTCGCCAGTCTCTAATGTTTGGTTCTATCTACGGCAACCTGTTCCCCCTTTAGATGGAAACAGGACATTCTTTCCAAGCCAAGTCTGAGCAGCACAGAGGGGTTTCAGGAAACACTCCCATGTTTCTGGATGAGTCTCCTAGCCTCACATCATGTGCATGTTTGTGTCTTGTATTTCCTCTGTCTTTTCCGATTCTCCACAGCCTCCAGGCATCCTGCCCGGGCTCCCACCACGAGTAAAGAACAAAAACCAGAGCCGTTCTGTCTTGGACCCCAGCATCTTTCTATAAACACTAAATACAGAATATCGTATTGTGTGTCACACCAAAAAAATATATCTTTGTGGACAAGTTTGATAGTAGCAGGAGTTTCTTTTTGTCATTATAGAACAATTTATTGCTATGTGAGAGCTGTTTAATTTCTTTATGACTTCCATTTTTAGCTTCATGTCATTCGTGAAAAAAAAATCTTAATTACAGTTTCTGAAAATAAGTTATTGGCAAACCTGTTGTTTGACTGATGTTTTTACTATACTTGGCATGAATTACGAGTCAGTGGGATGTGATATATTCCTTATATTGGAAATATATTTGGAACCTTTTAAAAATAATTCATTTGATTCTTGTGAAAACAGTGAGAGAAACCAGGTTCATAGCAGATGCCTCAGACCTCGCCTTAAGTTTACTCTGCTTCTTAGCACCAGGGTAATTAATAAGTTGCCCCCTCAAACATTCTTTGGTATGAACAAACTCTAGTTTGCAGAGTGGATCCTGTGGACCAAGGTGGTGCCTGTCCACTAACCGGAATTTGCAATTTTCTTAGCTTTGTATAACTCTAACCAGAATATCACTGTGTTCTTTATAATTTAAAAGCAACTATTCAACCCACTTTTTAGCTAATTACAAAATTCCCTCCAATATATCAAAGGCTAGAATATTAGGTGCTTTGACAACATTAGTTTGGTTCAACTATTCAGGAATGCTAGGAAGAAGAGTTTATCTCCATGCTACAGTTGAATAGTATTGAGTTCCTTTACTACCATAGATTGGCCAACAGTGAGTTTCAGAGGCAGACCCAGTTCTGCCTAATGCTGGGACATCACTCTTTCCACTGGAGCAGACTACCTCAACCTCATTTTACATCGATGTAAATGAAAACCACCCACCTGAATGAGCTGGGTGTGTGTTTTCTCTTTCATTTTTGTGCAAAGTCTTAGAACTAGGAGAGATCTCAAAGGGTCATCTATTTGCCCCTTTTTTTGTTAGATGGAAAATCATACATCCAGGAAAAAGTATTAAAAGGAGTCCTTCTGTTTGATGGAGATGAAAAATAGCAAAGTAGCATTAGCACCATAACACTTAACACATTTGAAATCTATCAAGCCCTCTCATCTGAAGTGAGTGACTCCAGCTCACTTGTAGCCTTTCTTCTCTCCACCTACCTTCTATCCACTTTTGGATGAACTTTTGAATCTCTTTTCTGGGTCTTTTAAAATGTCAAGAACAAACTGTACATAGTAACCATGACTGTAATCAGCTGCTCTTTTTTGGTGAGGAAGGAACCTCTTTTAAAGAGATACCACTCCAACAAAAAACTATGAACCAGAGACACTTTTTGGGGGGTGGGGGGCGGGAGGGGAGGGATTGGGGTCAGAATGGGGGGGTTGCAATTGTATGGGGAATATAAAAATAAAATTTATTATTAAAAAAAATTTCAAAATAATATAAGTGGTGACAGACTCAGTCAGAAGTTGAAAAAAAAAAAAATAAAGAGATACCACTCAACTCAAAAGTTTTTCCCTGAAATTATATAAGACTGAAATGATCACATTTAGGTCCCTGGCACTAAAAATAGAGAAGTATGATGGTCTGTACCCTCAACAGGACATCTAGGCCCCAGAGCCCATTTCCTGTAGTCACACTACACATAGATATTTCAAATGATATTGTTTCCATTCCTTGATATTCCTCATAATTGATCTACCTTAGTCAGATAACCTTCAAACATTTAATAAAGCGTATGGTGTAGGAGGTGGTGGTGACAGAAGCTATGACTTAATTAGGGCTTCTCATGAGCCAGACCTGTG